TTTGATTTGCTAAAGTTTTGTTAAGAATTTTACACGTATGTACTTGAGAATATGAATGTACAATTTTTTTTAATAATTTCTTTGTCAAGTTATGTTGGCCTAATAAAGTGAGTTGAGAAGTGTTTCTTTTCTGAGGATATTTATATAACAACGCTGTTATTTCTTCCTTAAATATTAATAGAATATACCAGTAAAGCCATCTGGGTCTGGCATTCTCTTTGTGGAAAGAATTCTGACAACAAATTCAATTACTTTAAATAGACATAAGGTTATTAGTTTTCTTTTTTATGATGTCAGTTCTGGTAAGCTGTATTTTTCAAGGAATCTTCCATTTCATTCAAGCTATCAAACTTACTGGCATAAAGTTATTCATGGAATTATCTTCTTATTCTTTTTTTTTTTTTTTTTTNCTCATAAGGGGATTGATAGATTATTTTTGCCTATTTTTTAATTTGAATTAAATCATATATTCATATAATTTGAATGTGATATGATTCAAATTGAATCATATAATCTGAAGCCGAACACCAGGATAAAATTCTAACCTGAGATCCTGACTGAACCACATTCCCAGCCCTTTTTTATTTAAAAAAAAAAAAATTTGACTTTAGTTATAGATGGACACAATTACTTTATTTTATTTATTTATTTCTATGTGGTGCTTCGGATTGAACCCAGTGCCTCACACCTGCTAGGCAAGCACTCTATCACTGAGCCACAACCCCAGGCCTCCCAGCCCTTTTTATATTTTATTTAGAGACAGGATCTCACTAAGTTGCTTATGGCCTCATTAAGTTGTTGAGGTTGGCTTTGAACTCACAATCCTCCTGCCTCAGTCTCCTGAGCTGCTGGGATTACAGGCATGTGCCACCACACCCAGCTCTTGGCTCTTCTTATTCTTTTAATAGCTATAAGATGTGAGTGAAAAACCCCTTTTTCATTCCTGATATTAGTAATTTATGTTCTCCAGGTGTTTATCTTTGTTGATCTTCTCAAGAAATCAACTTTGGCTTTATTAAATTTCTATACTTTTTCATTTTGTTGATTTCTGCCCTTATATATATTATTCTTTTGGTTCTTTTCAGTTTTTTCCTTACTGAGAACAGCTCTTCTCTTTGAACTGAGAGGAAATAAGGGAGATTAGGAATAGTGTAATCAAGGTCAATACAAAGTTGCTTTATAAAGATCTTAATTTGCTTCAGGTCTCAAGCTTTTCCCTCACAGGCTGTGGGCTTTTGAAGATATGCCCAACAAATTCTCAAGAGTGTGCCACCAAGTCGGGTGTGGTGGCGCACGCCTGTAATCCCAGAGGCTTGAGAGGCTGAAGGAGGAGGATGTGAGTTCAAAGCCAGCCTCAGCAAAAGTGAGGCACTTAGCAACTCAGTGAGACCCTGTCTCTAAATAAAATACAAAAAAGGGCTGGGGATGTGGTTCAGTGGTTAAGCGCCCCTGGGGTTGGGGGAGAGTGTGTTACCAGCCTAGCCAGCTTAGCTATCACCTGCAGTAACGATTTCTCCATATCTGCTCAGTTCTTACTCACCAGGGCAAGATCTTTTTATTCTTTCCTTCACAACCATTCCTTCTTCATCCAATAAGGTAATCATATCTGGTTTAGAAACAGAAGGTCCTGCTTAAAAGAAAAATGTCAAGTGAAATTATAAACCTAAAAGTTCTTACATTCAGATTTGGTTATATAACTTTACCGTTAACTATAAATAAAAATGGTACTCAATAATGCCTAAATGCAAACAGATGCAAGGAACATTTCTCTTTTCCTGTCTTTCTTTCTCAACTCCTTTGAGTTTTAGGGAAACTCAGAAGCTTTGAGTTTTAGGGAATCTCAGAAGCCCTACATCTGAATATCCTCCATGCAGAAAGATTAGAAAGGAACATGAAGCAACTATGTCAACTCTGAGCTCACATACAATGTGAAATCTGGTTTCTTGGGCAATATTCTGCCATATTCAAATTCAGCTCCTGGAATACTAAGGAAACCAAGAAATAGAGTCTGAAGAAAGTGTGAAAAACACAGCAGGCTGAGAATGATTTCATGTTAAATGAAGGGGCTCATTTCCAATTTAACAAATCCTAAACCATTCTTTTTAAAAACAGACAGTAAAAAATATAGCTAGATTTTCAAAATATGTCCTGAAATAGAGAGTAAAAAAAGTTAATCTCCTTTGGGATACTCTTACCTAGTGAGAGGAAGTTGTTGTAGTTCTCCCACATTACGTCCCTATATAAGTCCCTCTGAGCAGAGTCCAGGAATTCCCATTCTTCCTGTGAAAAGTCTATGGCCACATCCCTGAATGTCACTGAACCCTGAAATATAAACTCATGGATTACTTGTGGAAATAGATTAAGTAATCTTTAAATGAAAAGAGAAAAGACTCATGATTACATGGTACAGTGAGAACTACATAGCATGTACATAGCACAAGGCTGAAAACTTATGATGTAAGTAGGGGACAGCAAGAAAATTAGCATCTCTAAAGCAGTGTCTATATGTTCTTGAATAATGCTGTGGCTACAGAAAAGATTAAATTTTTATCCAAAAATCTGGAAATGAACAAATAACCCAAAAAAATCTTTAAGTTATGCACACAAGCCTTCTGCTTCCACTATAAAGTCTAAAGAAATATGAATGAGGTCTTCTACCCTCTTATCCCTTTAATAGTTATGAAAAAAAATTGACAGAATTTCTCCCAAATGTACTTTAAAACCTCTAAGAAGCCTCAAGTTCACACGAAGTCAGATTTTATTAAACCTTTTCCCATGTTCCAACCAATTCTTAAGTAACCTTTTCAAAATTTGTTACATAGTAGTCCTCATTTTGAATATATTTGGTTCTCCTTTTAAAATTCAGATGTTTGAATTCAATGTAATCTCAAAAGTCTTCTCTTTTATTATCTATAACATCTAATATTTATGAATTTGAATAACCTTCTTATTCTTTACTATCAGTTCTCACTGAGCATCTTTTTTGTTCCTGAGTTACAGAATTCTGAATCATAAAGATATGGTAAAGAGAACACTACAGACTGGTGGTTTTCAACAAGGAGTGATTTTTTAAAAAAAAATATTTATTTTTTAGTTGGACACAATACCTTTATTTATTTATTTTTAGGTGGTGCTGAGGATCGAACCCAGGGCCTTGCATGTGCTAGGTGAGCACTCTACCACTGAGCCACAACCCCAGCCCCCCCCCCCCAGGAGTGATTTTGTTACCCAAAAGACATCTGGTCAGGGCTGGGGTTTTGGCTCAGAGGTAGAGTGCTTACCTAGCACGCATGAGGCATGGGTTCGATTCTCAGCAACACATAAAGTAAAATAAAGACATTGTGATCACCTATAACTAAAAAATAAATACTTAAAAAAAAAAGATAGGGCTGGGGTTGTGGCTCAGTGGTAGAGTGCTCGCTTCGAACATGCAAGACCCTGGGTTTGATCCTCAGCACCACATAAAAAATAAATAAGTGAAATAAAGGCATTGTGTCTAACTACAACTAAAAAATAAATAAATAATACATACACACACACACACACACACACATATATCTGGAGATATTTTTTTTTTGTCACAACTCAGAGGAAGGGATGTGATGTTACTGACACTCAGTGGGTAAATGCCAGGAATATTGTAAGACAACCTACAATATACAGAATAATCCTTTAAAATAAAGGATTCTCTTGCCTCAAAATGTCAATAGTCCCAATGTTGAAAAATTCTGATCTAGATCAGCACATCCTATAAAAATACTCAATGACTTTGTTCCTGACATTATTCTTTCCAGAGAAAGTCATCAGAAATGATTCTTGATCTTTCTATTTGCAGCCCTGTTTCATTCACCATCCACTCACCCTAGTGGTGAGAGGTGATGTACCCTAAAAAAGCACTAGATAGACAAACAAGCAGAGGCTAGACAGATGAGACTGACAGCAATTTATTATTCATATATACTCATAGTCTGAGGGAAGATGTCACACTTCATAGAGGGCCACAGGGGTTACATTCAGAAATAAAGAGAACAGGGGCAGTGGGAGGAAGCTAGGCTTTTAAAGAGGATGAGGTGTTCTCTGGTTCCATAGGAGAATGTGACTGGCTTGTCTGAATACTTCCATGGGCAGCCAGGGGGGGAAAATCTGAGGACAACAAGGGGTATAACTTGTCCAGCTGATAGAGGAACTAGCTAGGAAGGAAGACTTTTCCGCTGGTTAAACGGGCATATCTGGTGTGAGCAGGGTATTCATGGTTAAACCTTTGAAGACTTGACAAAGATGTCAAGACAGCACATGCAGGGCTGGAGCTAGGGTGTAGCTCAGTGGTAGAGCACTTGCCTTCCATGTTCCATGCCATGGGTTCAATCCCTAGCACTACCACCAAAAAAAGAAAAAGAAAAGAAAAAAGACAGTACACGACATTTTAGGTTCTACCATGTAAGGTCTCAATTACATCCCTATCCAACCCATCCAATCTTAAAAGATCTCAACACATACAGAAATTGAGATCGGTCAATGCTTAAATCCTATCTTATATACTTTAAAAATTCAGCTCAGTGGAGGAGTTTAGAGTTTTTCCCATAAAAAATCAAATAGGTACAAATTATCTCTTTCATCAAACCATAGATATTCAAGGAATATTCAAAACACTATCAGTAATCCATTCCTAAAAATCAGACATTCTAATATATTATTAACCAGTTATCTATTTTTCCATCATTTTAAATTAGAGATTAATAATACATTATATGTTAATTTCAACCTTCCAATTAGCTTCACAAGATTTTCCTCCAACACAGAATTGTAATAAATAGTGGGTCAGAGCTTATACATCATCTTTAGAATTTTTTACTAAATTAATATTTCTCATTTGCTTTGCATCTTTCTCCACAATTTTCAATTGTTTCCAACCTTTAAAAAACTAATTTTATGGGCTGAGGTTGTGGCTCAGCGGTAGAGCACTCGCCTCACATGTGCAAGACCTTGGGTTCGATCCTCAGCACCACATAAAAATAAATAAGTGAAATAAAGGTATTGTGTCCAATTACAACTAAAAAATAAATTTTAAATAACCCCTCATTTTATGCTAGGAAAAAACCAAGGGCTTAACATGTGCAATACACTATGAAAAAAATTTCCAACAAGGACATAATAGTAGGAATGACCCACATTCATCTGATGCTCAGGTGCCTACTTTACCACCAGCAGCATCAGATATACACATTTCCTTTAATGACACATATATTTTAAAACATCTATAGGTGATTCTGGTGGTCTAGCAATTACATGTGGAATACAACTAGACTCTTCCAGGAAGTGTTTTTGTTTTAAAAGATTAGTATTTTAAAAAATACCAATGAACTATATGACTCCATTTATAGTTCTAAATATAAGCAAAACTACTTTGCGATGTTCAAAGTCAGGATAGTGGTTATATAAGGAGTGACTGAAAGAGGGGCATCTGAGGTGCTAGTAATACTCCTTTCTTGATCTGGAACCATAAATGTACTCAATTTAAGAAAATTCATTCAGCTCAACACTTAAGATTTGTGTGCTTCTCTGTTTATATGCTAAATTCCATGAAACATCCTTACTTTTTGAAAATGCCACAAACCAGGGACATAAGTTTTTCTATATAAAGCTAGATCAAAAATCACTGTATTAAGGGAAATACATTTTTTTCTGAAGTTTAAGAATTAAAATCAAAAGTCATTCCAATGGAAAATGTTAAAAAGAGGGACATTCTGCAGAGAAAGTACTATATTTTCTCAAGGCATTCCACTTTTGCTTTTGACAGAAGGTTCTGAAGATGGGTGATGGTCAACACTAGTGAAGAAGGGAAGGCATGGATGGGTTCTCTGTCCCCAGTCCTCTCAGGAATGAGAGAAATTGGAGCAGGTTCTTGGATGGAGTTCTGTTAAATCAGAAGATTCAGAAAAAGAAATGAATATGAACAGATGATCTAGAAATTGATCTAGACTGATCACTCTAGAAATAATATGGAAATTTGATGTTTCAAAAAGGAAAGAGAAACATTAACTTACATGGGCCATGGTTTTAGAACGGCAAGAATTGGTTTAGTCCTTTTCAATATTTCTGTTGGAGAACTCCAGAGTCAAAACAAACCAGAGCTAGAAGAAGAAAAAGGAGCTGTAAGACCAGACCAAATAACTTATTTTTTTTTAGTTACTTAATCCAAAATAATATTTATTAAAATAAAAGTGTGAACTACCAGAAAAGAAGGAACTTAATGAATGATTCACATAAACAAAAAATTAAATGCTCATTCATTGCATATATTTATAAAATATTTCATAAAACTACCTTAAAATTTAAACTTTAATATTTATGTGGAATTAAAGGCAAGATAGTTCCAAATAACTTATTTTAATATGAACATTTTTTTCTTCCATTCCAACTTCCAACAACTTCCTATACTATACCCAGACATACCCCACAGCCACACAAAACTAGAGGAGAATATGGGAAGTTTGAAGAAATATAAGCCTTGAAAAAATCCAAATGAATGATGATGGATTTGGTATAGAAGTCCAGATACTTCTACAGGAGGATTTCTGATCTCCATTCAGCAATGTAAATCTGGTCCCAAAACTGGACTAGAACTTCCTAAAGAGAAAAGACTAAAAAAATCACACAGATTGAACCTGGCAACTGCTTCCATTATAAAACTGCACTTCTTTTCCCTAGCAAGGACAACTCATCACTCCAGTTTCCCAATCAGGACATCCTGTTTAAGTATCCAGACTGGGGAGGTGAAGAATCATGATTCCTACAATTAGTCAACATCATTTTTTCATTGAGAATCTATGTGATGGGTACTTCATAAATATTTGTAAATTAATCCTCAGTATCATGACATAATGTAGTTTTTGCCTTTCAGCATACTTTTGCTCAGAAGTCAAACCAGTCAAGTGGAAGATGTTTGTTTTGAATGCACATTCTCTAACTAAAATGCAAGTTCTCTTTCAACTTTGGTTTTGGGTTCTGATGGACAGGTTTTCTACTTCACTCAGAGAAGTCTGAGCATGAACATTTCCCTAAAAAAAAAAAAAAGAAAGAAAGAAAGAAAAAAGAAAGAAAGAAAGGAAAAAAACCCACAAAACTTCAGTTCATAAGATGGCCCAGTATATCTCTCTAGCAATCTACAGAAACATCAATTAGAACAAATATATACAAATAAAAATACTTTCACATGCGCTAGGAAACCATGAGCTAAATCACCATAATTGGTTGTAGCATAACAATAAGAAAAGACACAATGAACAAGGTAGCAAGGATAGTTTTACATAACTTGTGTTTCCCCCTCCCCAACTCCAAGTAATATGGCACAGAGAGATATTATCCCCCTGAGGGAAAGAAAAAAAAAATAAGCACTGAACTTTGCCTTGGAATTCAACTACAATAAAACCAGCAATGGTTTCAGGCTTACCGGGTGGACATGATCTTCAGCCTGTACCACCATCAGCACAACATCAATGGACCCAGACTCTGCACACCCCTCAGCAGCAGGCAGGACTCAGTGGCCTCTCACTTCAAGAAAGCCACAGTGCCATGACAGCCACAGCAGGCTCCAGACTTCTAGTGTACCCCGGCATAGTGCTAGCACCGTAGCCCAAAGCTTCAGTTGTGGGCAATGCCGCTACAAGCAGAGTAGCTTCTGGCATAATCCAACACTGGGCCAGGCCCAGAAGATCCAGGCTTCTGGCACACCCAAGCTCCATGCCCACTGTAGTGGCTGAGGCTGAGATCATAACAGACACACCAAATCTCCAGATGGGCTAATATTGAAGGGCTATCTCTCCAGACTAGAATAAGTACCTACTTCTTCAAATGTAGACACTGACAGAAGGAAATAAGAATCAAGAACAACCAAGGAAATAGGACATTACCAATGTGTCAAAATAAAGAACCAATGACTGACCCTAAAGAAATGGACATAGATGTGATGCCTAACAAAGAATTCAAATTAACTGTTTTAAGGAAGCACACCAAACTTCAAGAAAATGAAAAGAGACAAATCAACCAAGGAAACAATAATGAAACAAAGGAACAATAAGTGACCAAAAGGAGAAATTTAATATAGTTTGAAATGATTAAAAAGAAGAAATCCTGGAACTGAAAAATAAAATGGAGGAAATAAAATATAGAACAAAGGAACACCAACCTGAGAACTAATCAAGCAGAAGAAAGAATCTGTGAACTCAAAGACAGGTTATTTGAAAATGTATAACTACAGGATAAAGAAGAAAAATGAAAAGGAACAAAGAAAGCTTTACAGAGTTTATAGGACAACAGCAGAAGAGCAAATGTTTTAGTCAAAGAAATTAAAGGAGGAGAGAAATAATTAGAAAATTACTTCAAAAAGTAATAGGGATGGGGGCATATCTCAGCAGTAGAGTATGGTCAGAATGTGTAAGGCCCTCGGTTCAATGCCCAGTACCCCAAAACAAAAAGAAAAAAAAATGAAAGAAAGAAGGGGAAAGGAAATAGTAGCAGAAAAACTTTCCAAACCTGAAGAAACTATAAATACCTTAGGATAGGAAGGTCAAAATTAACCAACCAGATTCAACCCAGACAAGACTACCATAAACACTACAATCAAACTATCAAAAATGAAAGACAAACAGAGGAGACTGAAAGCAGCAGGAAAAAAGAAGCAAATAATATATAAGGGAGTTCCAATATGGCTAGTAGCAGAGTTCTCAGCAAAACCTTACATGCCAGGAGAGAATTTGATGATATATTCAAAGTGCTAAAGGGAAAAAACCCTATAAACCAATAATACTATGCTCACCATAGGTATCCCTCAGAATTGAGAGCAAGATAAAGTCTTTCCCAGATAAACAAGCTCAGGGAAAGCCAGGCACAGTGACACATGCCTGTAGTCCCAGCAGCTCAGGAGGCTGAGGCAGGAGGATGGTGAGTCAAAGCCAGCCTCAGCAACTTAGTGAGGTCCTAAGTAACTTAATGAGACCCTGTCTCTAAATAAAATACAAAAATGGCTGGGGATGGGGTTCAGTGGTTAAGCACTCCTGGGTTCAATCCCCAGTACCAAACAAAAAAGCTGGAGGATTTATCACATCTGAAATTGTAAAATTCACTGGTTAAAAAGGTCAAACTCAGAATACTCCAAAACTGTAATGGTGGTATGTAAATCATATCTTTAGCATGAAGGTTAAAAGAAAGATATTAAAATAATAAGAGCTACAATAATTTTCAGGGATATGCAGTAAAAACATTAAATTATAACACCAAAAATTCAAAATGGGAGGATCAGAGTAAAAGTGAAGATTTGAGGGATTGTTTTGTGATTAAAGGTAAGCTGTTATCAGCTTAAAATAACCTGCTGTAGGATTTTTTTTTTAAATAAGCTTCATGGTAACCACAAAAGAAGAACTTAGAGTAGATATTCAAAATATAAAAAACAAGGAATTAAAATATACCACTAGAGGAAAATGACTTAATCACAAAGGAAGCTAGCAAAAGAGAGAAATCAAAAGACATACAATGGATGAAGTTATTAAAAAAACAAAATGCTACTATATACTGCCTAAAGAGATTTACTTAACTTGCAAGAACCCTTATAAACTGAAAATAAAGGCATGGAAAAAGATATTTCATACAAATGAAATAAAATAAAACAAAATAAAAAATGGCAAAAAGACAGAGAATGTCAGCATACAGTGATAAAATAGTTAATTTAGCAAGAGGATGTAACAATTATAAACATATATGCAACCACCATCAGAGTACCTAAATATATAAAGCAAATATTGACAGATCTGAAAGGAGTGGAGGACTACAGTAGTGGAGGACTTCAAAATCCTGCTCTCAGAAATGGACAGGAAGAAAATCAATAAAGAAACAACTGCTTTAACCTATGCTCTAGACCAAATGGGCCTAATAGACACACATTTGATCCTCAACACCACATTAAATAAACAAATAAAATAAAGGCATGCTGTCCATCTACAACTATAAAAAATTTTTTTTAAAGAGATAACCTACAGAATGGGAGAAAATATTTGCAAACTGTACATCCAATAAGGTGTTAATATMCAATATAAGGATCTCAAACAACTCAATAGCAAGAAAACATACAATTAAATTTTAAAATGAGCAAAGACATGAATAGACATTTCTCAAAAGAAAATATATAAATGGCCAAACAAGGGCTGGGGTTTTAGCTCAGTAGTAAAGCCCTCACCTAGCACGTGGGAGGCACTAGGCTTGATCCTCAGCACCACAAAAAAATAAATGGATAAATGAAGGTATTGTTCCAACTACAGCTCGGGAGCCTGAGCAGAAGGATCACGAGTTCAAAGTCAGCCTCAGCAAAAGTGAGGCACTAAGCAACTCAGTGAGATCCTGACTCTAAATAAAATCCAAAATAAGAGCCATAGCTCAATGATTGATTGCCCTTGAGTTCAATCCCTGGTACCAAAAAAAAAAAAGAGAAATATATAAAGATTCTCACCTCACAAAAAAATAATAGATAAGAAGTACTGGAGAGGATGTAGAGAAAAAGAACCCTCACACTGGTGGCAAAATAAACTGGAACATTCATTATGGAAAGCAGTATGGAGACACCACTAAAAATTAAAAATAGAACCAAAAGTCATCATACTAAGAGGATATAGTGAAAAGACACTGGCATTTTGAAGCAGTAGCCATACTCCTATGTTTATTATACCATTCTTCACAAAAGCCACGATATGGAATCAACCTATGTGTCCATCAACAGATGAATGGATTTTTAAATGTGATATATGTACACAATGGAATAACATTCAGCTGTAAAGAGGATATCTTGCTAGGTATGGTAACAACTGTAATTACATCTGTAATTCCAGCTACTTGGGAGGCTGAAGCAGGAAGACTGAAATTTTGAGGCCAACGTCAGCAAATCAGTGAGACCCTGTCTCAAAATAAAAAATAAAAGGGGCCTGCGGTTGTGGCTCAGTGGTAGAGTACTTGCCTAGCATGTGTGAGGCACTGGGTTCGATCCTCAGCACTGCATTTAAATAAATAAAAAATAAATAAAGATCCATCAACAATAAAAACATTAAAAAATAAAAATAAAAGGGCTGGCGATGGTTGGGGGTGGTGGCTTATTCCTGTAATCCCAGTGGCTCAGAAGGCTGAGGCAGGATTGAGAGTTCAAAGCCAGCCTCAGCAAAAGCAAGGCACTAAGCAAGTCAGTGTTTCTAAATAAAATACAAAATAGGGCTGAGGATGTGGCTCAGTGGCCAAGTGCCCCTGAGTTCAATCCCTGGTACTGCCACCGCCCCTCCATTCAGTGGTAGAGTACCCCTGGGTTCAATGCTCAGTACTACAAAAAGAAAAAAAATCCTCTCATTTGTTATGATATGGATGAAGGTAGAGGGCATTGCGGGGGCGGGTGGTCAAAGGATACAAATTCTAAGACAGGAGGAGTAAATTCAAGAGCTCTATAGTACAACATAACATAAGGCTGCCTCCTTTCTCATTTTTCTGACAAATGGGCTTATTTTGCTTCTGAACCAGTCCTTTATARGCTAAGATGCCTATGAAGCCCTACGACATCTGCTGAAGCTTCTTGTCCTTTTTTTWAAAATTCTTTTTATTTTATTTATTTATTTTATTGTGGTGCTAAGGATTGAACYCAGTGCCTCACACATGCTAGGCAAGTGTTCTGCCAATGAACTCTAGCCCCAGCCCATCCTGCACATTTTTAACATCGGCAAAATAAAAATTGTAAGCTGGCCTCTGTCCCAACCAATCAGGAGGCTGAGGTGGGAGGATCACTTGAATCCAGGACTTAGAGACCAGCCTGGGCAACACAGCCAGACCCTTTCTCTAAAAGTACATAAATAAAAACTGTAAGACATATATCTTACAGTAAAAAATACATTTACCACCATGGCAATGTCATAGCTTCAGTATTATCTGAACATACCTTGATCATAACTTTTTTATCATCAAAACTGGTATTTTTCCCCACATGGTGATGGGTTACTAAAGCAGGAAGTATTTTTTTTTAAGTATACATAATGATGAGATTTGGTATACTAGTATACTATTACTAACATACTTTGCTGTCAGACCCCCCCAGGATAAAACCCTCAGCTCTAATAGTTATTAATCTGTTACTTTTCAATATTTTAGTGTCCCTCTAAATAAAATGGTGATAATTATAGGTTTTTTGTTGTTGTTGTTGTTTTTGTAGCTGGGATTGAACTCCTCGGGTACTTAACCACTGAGCCACAACCCTGGCACACCCCCCGCACCTGAGCCACATCCCCAGACCTATTTTGTATTTTATTGTCTCGATGAGTTTCTAAATTGCTGAGGCTGGATTTGAATTCACAATTCTCTTGCCTCAGCCTCCCAGGACACTGTGATTACAGGCTTGCAACATTACACCTGAAATAGTTTCTACCTTTGATCTCATGTGGACTAAGTAACACATATCAAATAAAGCACTTAAAGTTGTTTCATTAAAAAGCATTTAATGAAAGTCAGCTATATCTTTTAAGATAAAGAATCTACATATCCTTTTCTCTATAATAATTAAAGAAACTCTTTTTGGCTCTTTTCTCTCTCAATAAAAAAATAGGCTTCTTAGCCTTGCTCTTTTTTATTATGCTAATTAATAAACTACAAAGCATCACCTTTATAGGCAATTCTAGATTATCAACAATTTACACAAGGAGGAAATGAGGATGTATAAAAGCAAATGTAGCAAAATACTTGTAAGTTTTGGACCTAGATCATGAAGAAAAATACAGAATTACAACAGAAGAGTAACAGTTAAATTAACTGTATCAAGCACTGTCTAAGGGGTTTTAATAGTTGTGTTGTTTTGTGATGCTGGGGATAGCACTCGGCCTCACGCATGGAAAGCAACTGCTCTACCCCAGACCTCATTAAAGGATTCTAAAGAGGATCTAAGGGCAGTGGGGATCTAGAATGGCTGCTGTTTCTAAAATGAAATTAGAACAGAGATTACTTGGGAGATTGAGTGCTAGCCTGAGTGTTAATATGAGGTGGCTGGAATTGGTATTTACAGTTACAAAATAAAAATACCAAAGCAACCCCTGGCCCAAGTCAGAGCTGCTTCTCACACAGCCCGAATTTTCCCATTCTTCCTTGAATGTAATCTTCCTAAATAAACCTCTGTCTATTCCCCAAGCCGCACAGGAAAAAAAAAAAAAAAAAAAGCAACTTGGAGCATCATTCATAAGAAAGTCATAATCTTTTAAAGAGGGAGTATTTATGGTATTTAACAACTGTGGTATGACCTAGGGGGAAATAATGTTTTCTATTAATTTTGCTTTAGCTGTCTCTTCTTTCCTAGTCTGATCATGACAAGGCAGCCGYTCTCCCTGCGCCTCCGCCCCGCCCCCGTCCGTTCGGATTTTGCTCTTTCCCAGAAGATGGAAGCAAAATATCCCATGCCTGGAAAAAATTAAAGTAACATTTAATGAAAGAAGAAACACAAATTAATATTGATGTTATGTTTTTATATATGAACAACAATACTTCGACCATTCCCTCCGCTTTCCTAAAGACCATCAGGATTGGGAAAGAGATGAGAATCGAAACATCGAGCCTTTCTCGGAGCCCGGYCTCGGAGCCCTGACTCAGGACCCAACTCCGCAGCCACTGCTACTCCCACCATCTTCCACACACATAAGCCGCTGGAAATGAAGATCAGCCTAGACTCGGGATCAGTGAGAAAGGCCACAGTACACCAAAGCTAAACTGCAATCTGAGTTCACGGACTTCCTAGGGAGGGAACGCCGTCAGCGCGAGGCTCCGGGGCTGTACAGCAGTTCTCAGGATTGCGTCTTTTTGTTTGGGGGCCTTCACTCTGGGGTTCAGATACCTAACTCKGAGCCATTCCGGGCCTGTGGGCCCAGAAGCTGGAGGGCAGAGGGCGCAGTAGGGCACCTGGTGCCCAGGCAGCGTCACAAAACTCCAGAGTCACGGCAACCCGACTCACACAGAAGTCCGCGCCGCCCCCGCGCCGCCCCCGCGCCCATTTCCTTAGTGCACGCGACCAACTCACCTCTCCCAGCCGACAGCAGCAGGGAAGCCGGAAGGAAACCGCGTGGGGGCTTGTGGGAAATGTAGTCCGCCGTGGGGAAAGTCCGGCTCCAGTCCTACCAGCTGCACAGAGTGCGCAAGCGTGGGGGCCGGAGGTGGGGACCAGCGCAGCTGCTGGGGGTCGGGAAGAACTGGCTGGCCAGCTAGCGGAAGAACCGGGCGCTCTCCACGAGCGTAGGAGTTTGTATTGTTTCCCTACCAGGGTTAGAAAAACTCAGCTACCTGCAGACACTTAACATATGTACAGTGTGTTCAGTATATATACTCCAGCGGGGCGGGGCTCTATATCAGACACCCCAATAAAAATACCCGCAAAGAGCGGGGGCTGTAGTTCAGTGGCAAAGCGCTTGCCTAGCATGCGTGAGGCACTGGGTTCGATCCTCAGCACCACATAAAAATTAAAGTAAAGAAAGGCATTCTGTCCATCTGCAACTACAAAAAAAAAAAAAAAAAATACTCGCAAAGCCCAGCAAAATCTACACGACTTGAAAGGTTGCTCCAGCTCCCAGAAGGGTCAACACTCAAGCACTCTGTCGCACACTACCATTGTGAGAGTTCCTGTTCTGTTAAAATGGTTGCCGTTGCCATTTTATTATTTGTTTGGGGATGTCTGGGGTCGAGCCTCAGGGTCTTTCCACCAAGCAACACCCTCGGTGCTAGATATTTATTCTTACTGATTTTTAAAATCATAGTTCTGCTAGTTATAATTCAGTAATAAAGCAAGGCTCTTCTCATCCAGAGGTGTATAGGCCAATATTGCTCCAATTCCTACAAATAATCTCAGTAGACATGGCGCTCCATATACCTGAGACATGGGTGCATCAGGATGATCTACAAGAATYTCAGCATGGTGTGGTCTCTTGAATTTGTAGAGCAGTGGGGTGCCCATTGAAGTATTCTTTTTATTCCTGCCACAATTCATTAATAGCATACTTATTATCTATTTCCCCGAGATTTCTTATAAATTGAATAATATCTAGAATAGAATCCACATTCTTCTTTGCAGGAAGATAAAGGAGCTATTTTGTCAGGTAATTAAGTCCCAGTCATCAACAAGCMGTGGTTTTAGCTCTTCAGGAATCTTTACTTCAGCTTCAACTCTGTTCATAAATGTTTCTTCATTTTCAACAGTAGGATCCATCCGGGCCCTTTTCTTCCAAGGAGGCGGAGGTGTCGCACTAATTACTGCCACCATCTCCATTTCCAGGTGTTTTCTGTTTTTTCTTTTTTGTTTTCACCTCAACCTTTTCTGTTACAGACTAGATGTCTTCTTTCCTGGACCCCCCCCCCTTTCACCTTCCCCTTGCATACTGCCCCCATTGGCTTTTTGGGGTTCTCGCTGTTTCTGCAGATCTGTGTCCACGTACCTGAGAACTCTGCTCGTTGGAACCCATTCATCCCAATTTTTATTCCAACCGCTGTAATGTATAAGTATTTCACTTGTCCTTTATGGCAACCTTAACACACTATGCTTCACAAAGAGGCCCAAGAAAGCACCCTACTCGCTCACCCTCCTGGCATTTCAGCTTCGGGTCCTGCTTGAGCGCAGTTTATAAGTGACTCATCGCTGCCTCCTTCTCCCATCACCAGCGACTACAGAACCCTACTCTCTACCTGACCCAACTTCGCGTCAGAGGCGAGGTCAGGTACTGCAAGCTCCAAGTCTTGGGTCTGATTTGGAGTTTTAAATTTCAAACCACTATTGTAGATTCATCTGTTTATCCCTTTAGTTTGTTCAGTTTTTGCTTCATGTATTTTGAATCTTTATTATTTGGTGTATACACATTTGTGTGTCATTTTAATGAATTGACCCTGCTGTCATTCCTTTTATCTCTTAATACCAATTTTGTCTAATACTAGTACAACCAGGCCAGTTTTCTTGTACTTACTATTTGGATGGCATACCTTATTCCATCTTTTTTCCTTGAACTTATTTGTTATTTTACATTTAAAATGCATCTCTTGGGGGCTGGGGAGGTATGTAGCTCAGTTGAGTGCTTTCCTCTTATGCACAATGCCCTGAGTTCAATCCCCAGCACCACACACACTCTCACACACACAAACAACAACAACAACAATAAAACATCTCTTGCAGGCAGTATGTGGTTGAGTTTGACTTTAAAAAAAATCTAGTATGACAATCTCTGGACCATTCACATTGATCATTAACTTGTCTGGGTTCATGTTTGCTTTTTTGTTGATTTCTATTTGTCCCATTTTAAAATCCACTACTTCTCCTTYCCTGCCTTTTTTGAGGGGGTTAATCATTTTTTTCTAATACATTTTTTGTATTTGCTTTTCAGCTATATTTCTATGTATCTATTGTAGGAATTACAATAGACATTCTTATTTAACAGAGTCTGCTTGGAATTAATATTGTATTACTTAAGTATATGAAGTTTTCTTAATTAGCTACATACTTACTGGCTACTTGCTTCCTGTATTTTCATAGAGATTGGGAGTCTTTTTTTGTGGATGTTGGTGATTTTTAGAGAGGGTYTAAGTTTCTTTGGGCCTTGCTAAATTGCTGAAGCTGTCCTCAAACTTGGAATCATCCTGCCTCAGTCTCCAGTCACTGGGATTACAAATGTGTGTCACCATGCCAGGCTTGAGGATTTTGTCTTTAATATTCAGTATTGTTAGAGGCTAGAACATTCTGTGGCATACTGTGTAGGCATGCATTGTACGTAAGCACTTTGTACACATTTATTCATTGGTGAATCTGTTAGGTATGTAGTGATATCTCATTGTGGTTGTAAYTTGAGCACCTTTTTGTTTGAAGTGCTTATTTGCTGTTCCCCCCATTTCCTATTTGATTATGTTATCTACTGATCTATAGGGGTTCTTTATATATTCTGGATGAATCTTTATTCAAATACATTATGAACATTCTCCCACTTTGTGTTTTGTTCTTCCATATTCTTAATCATGTCTTTGGATAAAAATAGATTCTTAAAACTTAATATGGTAAAATTTACCACTTTTTTATTTCTGGTTAGTGCTTTCTTAGCTCTTTTAAGAAATCTTTGGGGACTGGGATTGTGGCTCAGTGACTACATGCTTGCCTTGTACATGTGAGGCCCTGGGTTCGATCCTCAGCACCACATAAAAAGAAAATTAAAAGTTTTTTTTTTTTTTTTAAATGTCCTCATTTGCTATTAAAAAAAAAGAAATCTTTGCAACCTCAATTCTATAAAGATATTGTTTTCCTCTAAAGAATTTGTTTTACTTTTTAGAATTTGATCATTTATACATCTCGAATTGTTTGTGTGCAGTGTGAAGTAAGAGTCAAGAGTAATTTTTTGCCAGGCACAGTGGTGCACACCTGTAATCCCAGCTGCGCAGGAGGCCAAGACAGGAGGATCACAAGTTTGAGAGCAGCTTCAGCAAGGACCTATCTAAAAAAAAAAAAAAAAACGGGGGTGGGGGGGTGCTGGGGATGTGGCTCAGTGGTTAAATGCCCCTGGGTTCAATCCTGGTAATTAAAAAAAAAAAGTATTTTTTCCATTCATATGGATATGTGACTGACCCAATGCTCCTTATTGAAAAGATCACCATTTCCCAACTACATTGCAGAGGAACTTTTATTATAAATCAGATGACCACACATATATATGTTGGGCCTTTTTTAGGGTTCTTTATTTTGATCCATTGTTCTGTTTTTTTCATTCTTAAGTAATACCATACTGCCTTAATGACCACAGATCACATTAATAAATTCAAGGAGAAAAACATCATTGTGCCAAAATGGCATCTGACACTATTCCATTGGCATTTCTAATAACAAAAGTTAAGCAGGGTCTTCAAGAAACAACTGAGACAAACAGTCTATTTAAACCTAGAGTAAACATTACACTAAGTGATTTCCATTAAATTTGGAGAATTAGATGCCTGCTATCATCAATAATCCCACTAAACCTTTTCTGAAGGTTCTATTATAAGATTAATAAAATAATTGCTATACATATTCAGGAAAAACCAAAATTATATCTATTTGCAGTTAACAAAACTGTTTAGAAAACTAAGAGTTTAGTAAAACATAAAATTAAAAGATTAGACCTTTGAAAATCTTTTGTGATAATGAAAATTATTATTGCATTCATATTTAAATTTTAACTTGACAAAATCACCATAAATACAGATATAAGCCATAACCTGGAAGACAGTTAAATCCATCACTTATAACACGTAAAGGATTACTACCTGGATAAGAATATCACAAATCTTACATGAATTTTTTTTAAAATGGGCAAGATGTGAATTAGCAAGTTGTTTAGTCATGAAACAGATGTTTACAGATGCTTAACTCATTATTAATCAAGAAAATATTAAAACTCATACCAGACATGGATATAAGGAATTGCTTCACTAGTTAAAGGCATTATAAATTTACCATAATGCTACTCTACTTCTGTAGCAATATCCGGCAAGTTGAAAGTGAACATAAATTGTGAGAGAGTAATCTCGCTTTTTGATAAGCACCTTAGAAAAACTCTCATGTATAGCAAGAAACACAGAGATATTCAGTAAGGCATTTTTCACAGTGAAAAACTGTATATAATAAGAATATTTATCAATGAAAGGTTTAAATACATATACAGACAGGGCCTATGGGTTTTCTATTCCATTGAAAAAGCACCTTGTATAGACTGTGGAGTGCTGGATATCAAACCTCAGAGCCACATGCATGTTGGGCAAGGGATCTACCATTGAGTCATGCCTTTAATCCCCCCAAAAAGCACCATTTTAAGTTTTAAAAATGCAAGCAGCTGGGTACATAGCATGTTAGTTGCTTTCTTTGCCATACAACCATAGATCTGCCATAATGGAGACATTTCAATCCTTGAAGTACTTCTGGTAATGGCAACATCTGCCCAAGAACATCTGGAATAGGTAAGAGTTCTATATGAAGTCTGAGATGGTTTTGGTTTAGATAAAATGAAACAGTCTGTGAATCTTTTTATAGGCACTTAATGTGATTCCTGCCCCCCAAAATATGGTATGCAGAG